GATGAAAAGTTGGCAGAAAAAGAGATTACTGATCAGCATTTGGATTTATTATGTGAAATGTTAAAAGTAATGTTTAATATTACCACCAATGCAGATAAAAGCCCCAATGAGAATGAAATTCAAAGTCGACATTTGACTGGTGTAATCAGAAACTTACTTCTTAATTTTGGACAAATGGAAAATGATCGAGAACGCAATGTTATTATGCATGCCATCAATCTTTTGACAAACATCTCTGGTAGTTGTTTAACCGAGTTGTTGATTAAGAGTGAATCAAATGCGCCAACTACTTGCCCGGTAATATTATATGAAGGATATAACGTGCGTGCATTGGAAATAATTGTGCGTTATTTAAAAAATGTATTAGAAGAGCAAGATAAGGCTGCCTCATCTAATGAACTTGTTTCCCCAGTTTTAACGTTGTTGGTTAAATGCGCACGAAGTGATAGAGTTATGCGCCACTATGTTAGAAGTGTGATTTTACCTCCACTACGGAACGTTTTCAATCGTCCTGAAGTAGGAAATGAATTACGGAATCATCTTTGTCGCTTTTTAACTCTACCCGAAATGGTATTGCGCGACTTAGCTACGGAATTGCTGTTCGTATGTTGTAAAGAAAATGTTGCTCGCATGATAAAACATACAGGTTACGGCAATGCAGCTGGCTTGTTTGCAAAACGCGGTCTTTTAGGTGGTCGTCAAATCGAAAACACCGATTATTCTTCAGATAGTGAAGATAGCGATACGGAGGAGTATAAAAAAGTACAACAAAACATTAATCCCGTTATTGGTTGCTATGAATCACCCAAGCCAAGTCCTTTTGAAGGAATGTCAGAAGAACAAAAAGAACATGAGGCCATGCAACTTGTTAATTTGATGGATAAGTTACATAAAGGTGGAGTGGTACAGCCATGCCGCATTGGTGAGGATGGAAAACCGCAACCCGTAGATCATATTTTGCAATTGCAAGAAGAGTTACCTCAACAGCAAACTGATCAAA